GGCATGCTTTATACCCAATAGCATATTAAACTTGCCTTGTCTCAAGCCACATTAAATTCTGGAATTACAGTTCACCGTAAACTGACCCGACCTTTATGCTGAAGCACAACCCGCACTATGCGTAGTGTATATTTCAAGTGACATTTGTAATTGGCATGCATTTTGATAAGTACACAGTTGTATTCTGAGCGGTCTAGAGTGGCCAGTTTGTTGCCGTTCCGATATTATGCAGATAGGCTCTATAATGACACCAAACTGTGCACTATCGCTCAAACAAAATGAAGCTTGTAGTAGCTGTGGGCTGTGCCAGTGTTCATATCCAAATGCTCTACCACTCTACACAAGAGATTCGAATGTGTCAATGTACAAAAATGGTTTGAAGTTTGTTGACCAACATTCAAATCCTGCAAAGCTGCTACCGTTAGCGATAGACCTACAGAAGCTGTGCGATTGAGAAAAATCGCTGCACACCTGTAGGTGCCAGTACGGACTTCGTCAACAACCGTGGGTTCGAGGTCGACGTATATAGCGCGGGGCACGTGCTTGCCGGCTCCGGTCTCGCTAAAGAAAGTGTTAAAGGAGTCGTCGCCTCCACCGATCGTCTTGTCACTGGGCATCTGGCCGTCGGGCTGAATGCCATGCTCCAGGCAGTAGAGCTCCCAGCAGGCATTGCCGATCTGGACGCCCGCTTGTCCAACGTGAACAGATATGCACTCACGCATTTTCACCGGTTAGCTGAGAGACAAAGAAACAGGCACGTGAGCAGGCACTGACAACAAGCTTCGAGGCAGAAAGTTGTGCACATATATTGACGTGTCAGCACTGATCCAGACAACTGGGAGACTGTCTTAACACCCCGCTAACTCCAAAATTATAATTTCGCCGTGCACCTACGCCATCATACTGACATGCACACTGGGCAATGAACCACATCACTACAGGAAATTGCAAGTGGAAATCCCGCGTCAAGTTCACCGGAGCTAAGCATATTTACGACTTGCAGAAACAACCCACTCGAACTTACATCACATCGCTCATTTAGCAGAGCATATGATTGACTAAGCTGTAACCACGCTCACAGGAAATGTTTGGCTCTCTGCCATGCTAATGAATGAACGACACTTGTACACCGCATGGTCTTTCCCCAGTGCCATTGTCCAGAAGGACGGGCACGAAGATCAGGAATATGCGGGATCACCGCCCACGCCCGACGCAAGCGCCAGGGGACGGCAGTTTATGTTCGACACCGTGGCGGTGGACCGACTGCCAGCGGAGGGCAGCTCCGGGGGCCACGCCCGAGAGCGGGAGCGAAGCAGCAACTCCTCTCAACCGCGCCTCAATATGTCGGTTATCACAACTCGCCACCGCTATCATGACTACCTAACCGCAGTGTAAGTGACTGTCTCCGACTAACAAGACGAGACGCCTTTCACATGCGAGCGAGCGCGATCGTGCGCGTAAAAACCGCTGACGTGGATGCACACCGGCTTACCAAAAGGATCCTAACAAGGCCTCGGCCTGGAAACGGTTCCGCACCAGGCACCCTCACTCCTCAAAGCCGGTTTCGGAAGACGCGCCGCCCAACACCCCTCACAATACACAGCCGCAACGAACGGTCAGGCACGACCGTTAGCGAGACGACGCCATGATGAATTTTGAAGATGTTAATCTAGCCGGGCGGGGACGGGGGGGAATGTTGATCCCACAGGCGAACTACTTCCGCAAGCAAACTGTTCAGTTCAGTAACGCAGTCAGTTTAACCATTGGCTTAACTTCCGGACTAGATTAATTACCCACGCCCACTCAGCAACCAATCGCACGAAAATTAGGCCTATGAGGAGACATTTGCCGGCTACGACAGGACTTCGTATACATTACGAGAGCCGACAGAGCAATTCAAGCTATCGCGACACGGCGACATTTCCTGGATTACGCGCAAGAATAGAAACTTTCAACAAAGTCATCGCACATAACAGCGCCTCTAAAACTAACTTATAGCTGAATGAATACATACTTGATCGGTTTACGGCCCAAAGCAACGTTTACTTTGACGTGGACAAGGTACGCCCGTAAACTGATGGGTCTGAGAAAGTAGTCCGGCAAAATGTCTTATATAGGCATCCCATTCTGCCGCGCAAGCGCGGTATTTTTTTAGTAATTATAACTCACAGTACCATTAAGTTAAGTTAATTTTATTCCAAACAATGATAATAAAAAATTTTGCAAGCAAAAATGCGTTTGTTTATAGCAAGATGTGCTTTTTTTTACTTTAATAAATTGCGCACTCTTTCTTTTAGCGCACTCGGTAGTTGTGCAGCGCTCCTCCCATTCTTCCGCGGCAAATTGGCGTGACGATGAATGAGAAAGGAGAAAAAAAATACAAAAACCTGTGGGGTGGTGCGGGCGCATAGGCCAAAGCGGCAACGCCCAAACTTCGTGTGTCACGAAACTGCGGGCTCGCCCTTCGCTGTCTTGAACGCCTCTCAGTAGTGCTTTCATTCAAAAACGTTTATTCCGCTATTATCATACAATTGTGCGCGTCTAATAATAGACTGATTGATTTGTGGGGTTTAACGTCCCAAAACCACTATTTGATTACGAGAGACGCTGTAGTGGAGGGCTCCGGAAATGTTGACGACCTGGGGTTCTTTAACGTGCACCCAAATCTGAGTACACGGGCCTACGGCATTTCCGCCTCCATCGGAAATGCAGCCGCCACAGCCGGGATTTGATCCCGCGACCTACGGGTCAGCAGCCGAGTACCTTAGCCACTAGACCACCGTCGCAGGTCCTTAATAATAGACATCTGCGATTGGCGTACGAATCAACGGATGCAGTTAAATGCGCTTATTTACAGATGCTTGATATATGTTCTATACTTCGGGGGAAAAGTCGGTGTTTCTAATCATTTATTGTACGCACACGATGAAATACTTTACACTTCTGAAGACATGCCGGCAAGCGCAATACGTGTGGTCTTATACTCGCCATTCATGAGGTAATTCAACGCAACACGTGTGGTCTTATACTCGCCATTCATGAGGTAATTCAACTTTTGAAGTGTTGAGCTTGAAAATATGAAGAAAAAGAACTGGTTCTCTGCCAGCGAGAAGGCTGTAAAGAAAAAATTCTAGTTGGTGACTTCAATTCTCACCATACATGCTGGGGTTTTAGAACAGATCAATGTGGCCAACGGTTGTTCATTCGACAACAATTTATTGTGCCTCAACGCTAGAACTCCCACATTTATTCGAGGTCGTTCACGCTGCGACTTAGATTTAAGCTTTGTAAGCTCGGCTATTGCTAGTACATCATGGACAGCCCTTGATTGCGCCTCCAACAGTGACCACTTTCCTATCATGTTCAAGATCACTTGCCCCGTTAAACCATCATGTTCAATTCTTGTACCCGGATCTTTATAAATTATCCAAAATTTAAACACGACCTAAAGGCGAGCTTCTTTAGACTCTCCTCAAGATGGTGATGACACTAAAGCTATGAGATTAAGCGCAGTAATTAAGAGAGCATACAAAAAAGCTTAATTTGCTGTTCAATCGGCGAAAAGAGTACGATGGCAGGCAGCTTGGGAGAAGATAATACATGATGAGTTTCCTAAGAACTGGTCCAATTATAAATTTCTTGCCGATCGCACGGTGGCCCAAGCTAAAGAATAATATGATAAAAGACATTTCGATTTGCTCTCGAAACCTAACAATAAAGCTTTATTTCGATATATGCGATCTCGCAAAATCCTGCCGTCTACAGTAAATACTGATTATGAAAAGCTATCACCAGAAGAAACGACGAACTCTTTAGTGTCAATTGGCAGAGGTCTAGAAATTAAGTTTTCTTCGACTATGACTTTCAACTAGCAAAAGTGTAACATACGCGCTGACTTCGAAAACGTAACGCTATCTGAAGCATCAAAAGTGATTCGAGATTTACCCTCGTCAGCTACTGGTCCTGATGGAGTCACAGTTCCTATGATTAAAATTTTATTCAAGCTATCACCCGGCGAAGTCCTCAATCTTGTAAACTATTCTTTAAAGAACGCCTTGATACCGTATGACTTGAAAATGGCTAAGGTAATTCCATTAATAAAAAAAGGAAAGATTAGGTTTTCGCATAGAAAATATCAGACCCATTTCGCTAACGTTTAACATGGTGAAACTCATAGAAAGGGTCCTAAATGGCCGAATAAACGCCTGGATGACAAATAAGTTAATATTAAAGCCAAACCAAATTGGTTTTCGCAGTGAATGTTCAATTTGGTGTGCCCATGCCGATTTAGAGAGTCGAATACAGCTTGCTCGCAAAAGAAAACAATACGCCGCTTTAGTAACTCTGGAGATAGCTAAAGCATATGACAGTGTCGAGCACTCCATTATACTGAACAACCTACAGAGCCTAAATTTTTCTCATTATATTATTGAGTGGATACCAGAATTATTAAAACCAAGACAATTTTATTACGTGAAGGATGGATGTTGTTCGCAAATTAAAACATAAACGTGGTGCTCCCCGAGGGTCCGTCCTATCTCCAAACAAACAAACAATGCTAATTGGTAACCCAGTAGTTACACCCCGGTTTATCGATAAAGATAACTTAACGTATCTCTGTTAATTAAGGTTAGGTTTAAGTATGAGAGAGAGAACAACCTTATTAAATATAAACGAACCACAGTACAGGTTCGCCCCTAACAAAAAAACAACAACAAAAACAAGCATGATGATCGGGGGAGGGGGGGGGGAGTCCAGCCGCTCCTCCAGGGTCGCAGGTTTCAGATTTGTATGGGAAAACAAACCTAAACTGTTATTTAGCAAACCTGAAAACTCATATTTGCACACCCCTTTACAGGGTAGCAAACCAGTTTTTTTTAGGTTCCTGTCCCTTCCTTTTATTTATCTCTGACATAGCAAGCACACCAAGTTTTATCGATTTTATCGTGTTAAACCTACCTTCACGTACTAGGTACAAACCTACTAGGTACAAAAATTAAGCACGAGGCGGGTTTAGTGCACATCGCAGAGATCGCATCGCCGATCATGATTCTAAAATTATTCTGTACAGAGATGCAACTGGTTAAAATGTTTCTACGCTAAAAGTTTATTCGTACGGACGATATTGCACTATTTCGTATCTCATTTCGATACGTTGCATAATGGATAAGCAGTCGCCCCGCCGCGGTGGTCTAGTGGCTAAGGTACTCGTCTGTTGACCCGCAGGTCGCGGGTTCGAATCCCGGCTGCGGCGGCTGCATTTCCGATGGAGGCGGAAATGTTGTAGGCCCGTGTGCTCAGATTTGGGTGCACGTTAAAGAACCCCAGGTGGTCAAAATTTCTGGAGCCCTCCACTACGGCGTCTCTCATAATCATGTGGTGGTTTTGGGACGTTAAACCCCACATATCAATCAATAAGCAGTCACTACATCATCGCTTTATTTTATTTTTAGGTTTATGCGACGAGAGCTGTAAGAAAGAATAAAGGGCCGGCTGCCGGAAAAGCAGGCGGGATGCTCCGTAGAAACCGGACGAATGCCTTGGGCCAAAGCGGCCACGGTTGCCGAAAACACCGCCGGCGACGGAATATTTTGTTGCTGTTTGCGTTTCCCTGGCAACGGTCAAGCTTGCCGCGCTGGTTTGCGTCACTCCGACGTCCCGCCGACGCACCCTCCCCCGGTCTTTTACCTCTCTCAGTCGCCATAACTTGCTTTTTTAGATTGCACTTAGATCAAACACCGGCTAAGCCTGAAAACACCTATGACTATAGCTAGGCTATGCTTGAAGAACGGTTCTACTGGATTTTTATAAAAGGGACATGCATAGAAGGGGCATAGCTAGTTTGAGAGGGGGGAGGTCATTCAACCATATATGCTATTTGTGTGTTCTAATGTGCGCAAACAAATTCTGAAAATTGGGTGAGTGGGGCTGAACCCTCCTCCCCGGCTACGCCAATGATGTAAAAGGGCCAGGTATACATGTCCAGGCTTTGTGCATTCATAGAGGTCAGACAAGGCCGCTCAAATTTGGACAAGCACGTATCGTTTGTTCGCACACAATATTGAACGCTGCCTCAGTGAGTCCCAGTCCATCTCGCCCTCCATAGTTCCAAGGAAGTGTCATAAAACACCTGTAGTACGGTAGACGTGGTACGGCAGTACCATAGAATAAAGAACCTTAGTACCATACTGTCGTACACTCAGCCAACGCCTCATCTAGAAAGATGCCTGAGGAATGGCGGAGTTGGCCTGCCTTCAGTTTTAAAGAAGCTCCGCGCGGTGGCGCTCACGACCGACACGAGGAAAACAACCAGGGAGATTCTTCGACAGGTGGTATGGACAGATACGATTCCAAAGTGGCACCAATATCTAAGATATGTAGAGTCCGGGGCATAAATAGACGTAGCCCCGAGCACCGAGCCAATTCAGACATAGGGTATATTAACATGCAGGGTGGTAGGAACAGGCTGAAGTGGGAAGAGATAGAAGAACAGCTAAGGGAAGAGAGGCCGATGGTA